CTATTTACTCAGTCGTGCATGTTTATGGGAGAAATCTTCACAACCAAGACTTCAGTTCACACATACACACACACAAAACCATACAGTGTTCAGTATTCACAAACAAACAAAACCACAAGTTCTAGTGATTTTGTTTCTTCTTCAACTTCGTTTTTTATTAGCATTCCAAGTCAGTGTCAAAATCCAGGTGAAATGGCCATTGAAGCCAATGGTAAAGCTCCCACTTAAATTAAGGGGTTTAGCTCAAGTCTTGCTGACTGCCTAAGAAAATCCATCATCACTGGTCACTGGTATTTGAGTACCAACACAAAGAGAATTTTACAGGAGAACAAGCAAAGCAGTAGATCCAAAATGTGAAGCATTACTTCACGGTATTCTATGTTATACCCAAATTTCAATAAAATTGATGCCACTGTACTAGGAATGAATCAGGAAAGAGATACCATGAAAAGCTATGGTAAAACCATAATGATTTCTTTCTTTTTCTGTGACCAGAACAATGGAAATCAGCCCCATATTTGAAGTGGTCTGAAGATTTGCATGTGTTAAGCCCTATTTTAAACTCCCAGCCTGTTTGTCCTACATTTACTTACTAGAGAAAAACACCCAATTCTGGTATCTCATTATTCCACATCTATACCTTACTAGTAGTTGCAAAAGCAGTTTTCTTCTTGGACATTAAAAGTGTGTGCAGGTACATGGAATATTTTTTAGGTAAGCAATCAGAAATTAAGGGCAGATTACTGTCTCAGGTAAAAGTTACATATTTGTTTTGAGAATTTTTCCTGGGCTGTTGAAGACTGTGGATAGCCTTTTCTAGTTGGGTTATGTTACTTTATGTACCTCTCACTTTTCAGTACAATAGCAGATAATGAATTTTGTAGAATTTTGTAGAAGTAAATTCTCCACATATTTTGGGGAGGGAAAAAAAGGGGAGGGGGGAAGATACCACTGCTTAGAGAAAAGACTGGAAGTGAAAGCGACAAGAGTTGTTTTATTGACCTGTAAACAATGAAACCTAATAAAACAGCAAGAAGACTAATGGATACTTACGACTCTTGAGCCGTACCAAGAAGTCCCACCAAAAAGTTTAGTAAGTGTCAGCTCACTTTAGAACCAGTGTCACAGAACATTATTTGTATTAGATAAGACCTGTTCTCTTTCTGCATCATCAGTACCAAGGACAATTACAGCAGAATTTCAGGACATTGAAAGAACTAAGCTACCTACCTCCAGATGCAATTACCTATCTGTATCTACAAATCCCTTGCTTAAACACATGGTTGCCTGAATTTGAAGTTTTTCAGGACTAAACAAAAACCACCAGTTTTGTCTAGTACCCCAGGGCACTGAATGAATACATCTGAAAGTATGTCAATTTAATACAGAAGGGGGTACAAGTTCAGCAGACCAAGGAGCAGCTGTGGAAAGAAACAGGAAAATTAAAAGACTGATGCAAACAAAGTATGTCTCTTGATTCTACTTTGAGCAACATCAGGGAATGCTGATAAAGAAAAGCCAGAATTCTGGAGTCACACTGGGCCATCTTAGATGTTAACACAGAAAAATAACATTTCTGATTGTTCTCCTCTTTCCCTGAGGATTACCTCCTTTTAGGACAATAGGCCCTTACACAAAATTCAAAACCAACTCTGAATCTCAGTGTAGCATTTTCAAACAATGAAATATTTTATGAACAAGTCCTGCTAAAGGAATCTTTTGACAACAACAAAAAATATCCTCTTCATGCACGAGATGAATATAATAAAGCCTGTCACCATTTAGGAAATATGTGTCAGAAGGGCCAGTTTCTATGTCTTAGTTCCCCCTTTATTCCTCCAAGAACATGTTCAAACAAGAATGACAAACCGTTCAGATTTTGTGTTTGAATCACATTACAGAGCAAACAAGCTCTCTGCTGAGTATAAAACCCCTTGCATTTTATTTAGTGCTACTCAGCATTTTAATTAGCATTGTCTTTTGCCTCAAATTTTTGGCATATATACTACTTTGGAGCTAGAATGAAATTTTAACTGGTAAAGCCCTACCTGCTCCAAGAAGATGAAACTTGAACCATCTGGTAGGTGAAATAACTGGAGAGGCGTTAGACTGATTTTGCACTCTTTCCATCTCAGACAGATGTGCAAAGAGATAGTGCAAAGAGAACAGTAGCCAGGAAAGAAGAAACAACTGAAAATTTACTTTGCCTATGAACTTGCCTGAGTATGGAGAAATCTGTAGTGGAAGAATAGTGATTAACAGCACCTAAGCTATGCCATTATTAAGACTCCCCAGAACTGTGAGGAAACAACCCAATTTAGCATCTATCTTTTAACAATTGTTCTAACTACCTGCAAGTCACTCCTGAGCCCTGGCATCCCTTCGTCCTAGGACCCTGACAGCCCGCTATCCTCAGAGATTAACAGAATTTAGTTACAGTCGAAGACATGGTGGGGACATTATAATTAAAGAACATTGCTAAATTTTTAGACTGGTAGAGCGACAGCTCTTGCCAATAATGAGGAGGCAAGAAGGTACAAAAGCCTAAAAGAACAAGTTAAGAGCAATGAATAGTTCAGGGAAAAAAAAAGGGAACTAAAAACCAGGAAGAATATACACAAAAGTGTTTTTGATCACTATCTCCAAAGGCAGAAATGTAAGGGAGTAGGGAGAAGCACTGAAAATGAAAAGTGACTGAAGATGATGATTCATATGAAGAGAGATGGGAAATCTTGTGAGTGCATGGTCCTGAAGCAAGGCCAAAAAAAACTGCTCTAAAGGAAAAATAATCCTCGTATAGTCAATAACCCATTGGCAAATAATTTTTCTTATAAGGGAAAAACCTTTTTCCCAGATGCACAATCTGTCACAGGTATCACAAAGGCTAAAAGCTTAACAGGATTCTACAAAAGAGTATCATAAATAAAGACACTATTATCTTTAAGCAAAGGTAAATAATAACCCATGCTCATCTTCATTTCTCAGAACTTCAATCAATAGTCAAATGAAAGCAAATCTCACAGTTGGAATACTTTCACTGTGCAACAGGGAGCAGCGCAGAGGTCTCCTATCAAGCACTGATCCAAGCTGGCCTTACTGATGGCCAGGGCATACCAGTACAGAAAAAAACAGGGCCAGGGCACTTTTCAGCTATAAGTGTGAAGGAAGTGCTTATGCCCAGAAGCACCAGGCATCGACACTACTCCCAGTCCTGGATCTAGTTCAGTCAATTGAACTCGTCTGATCCCAGCCACAGCCTATGCATCCCTGGTAAAGATGCACACACTGAGACTGAGGCCTTCAACAACTATGCTTTAATTCAGCTTTGTACTAATCTCTGAAGTTGCTGATATTGACCACTGCCAAAGAAAAGATCATTTGAACACCTACACGTTGCTTGGCATTACACTTAAGTAATTTCCAAGGGCACATTTAATAAATACTTTCTGAGTGCATAGACCTGAGCAAAGAACCATCGTGTCTCTTCTAGGAAACCGTTTATCTTTGCAGAAAAGTTTGCAATTTCCTGTGCATGAGTCAACTGATGGTCTCTGAGCCCAGTTCCTTCCTATGCACACACGCAGAGCATAGACCTGCTGCTTTCATTCCACTAAAAAACTGCCCAGGAGCTTCAATCTGAACCTACATATCAGCCACAGTCAGAAATTGCAAATGGTACCTTCTGAAACTAAAATGGACAACTCTATTGAGCCCACAACTTGAAGTCTGAAAGATATTCCAAGGAAAAGGTTATTAAATATGAAGAGGAGATGGTTGCAAAGGAGGAGTCTAAAATGCTATTTTCACAACACTGATCTGATATAGCCAGACTGTGTGTAGACACAGCCTGGGCAGGTTTGAAAGCCTTATAGTACACTTAAGCTTATCTGCTCAAGCTCAGGGCAGCAGGGACATCCAGCTAGGTCACTCCGACTCAGCTGGAGTCTCTCTACCCCAGTGTTCAGAAGAATACTCTTGATGTTCATGTGCATCCAAAACCAGGTTAAGATCTGAGTAGACATCCTGCAGTCCAGGATTTTTTTTCCTCGAGCGCAAGCTCCCATGCCAATAAAATGGCACCTCGCAGGTAACAAAGACAGAAGCACAATATTCTGCTTAGCAGACAAAATCTTGACTAGATAGCAAGAGCTGAGAGAAGGTAAGAAACCTAAATACTACAAGAAGCAGTAGTAAATATGCTCTCAAAGGAAAATAGACAGCTGTCTACCTGAAACCAGTGCCCAACTTAAAACGCCTTTCCAAAGCAGCTCTTACATCTTTCTAAAGCTATTTTCTGGTTTCATTTGTGCAGCCTGGCAAAGTTAAATTTCAGGTTAAATTAAAGCATGTACACAGACTTTTCCACTTCAGTGCCTCTCACCCTCAGAGAAGGAGTCTTTTTACATTACAAAAGTGTTAATTTTTACATTAATGCTTCCTTGTAGTTTCTATGGATGTGCAAATACATAAAACTGGAGAGCTTTAGTCCTTCCAGTACAGATTTATTACCTGGATTGGTAAAAGTGGAAGGGAGCTTCTCCTCTTACAGCTTTCATGTGTAACACAAGAAAATTTGTCATCCATGAAACTGGGTCTTAGTAATTATTTTTCAGTCCCTCATATTTGTCTAAGGAGATACATACACTGTCACATTAAGGAATTTTGAAAGAGATGATTGTGTACAGATTCTGAGATTTGTAGACTCAGGAAACAGAGAAACAAGTGTATATCAGCTCTTCAGTCTGACTATGAAGTGGTGAAGGAAAGTTCACAGTTGCCAGTGGCAGCTTTTAGATTTCCCAAGCTGCTTCTCTGAAACAGTACCAAGAGTACAACTGTTTTATCACACTTCAGTGACAAATACATCATCAAACCAAAACTGTTGAACCAAGCTGAAGAGAGATAATTTCTCCAGAAAATCTGAATTATCACTTTTTTCTCCTTCAAATGATTAAGAAAACTCTTCTAATAATCATACAAAGTTTTCATTTTTGTATTACCTGGTTGAATAATTCCAGTAACAACGGCAATATATTCCTCAGGTTTCTGATCAGTTGAAATCTCTTTGCTGCCTCCATCTAAGGTCAGTATCTCATAAAGAATCCTTGAATTCTCCACACCACAAAGCAGAATTACCACATTTTCCAGAGGTTTTAGAACTTGTTCCAAAAAATAACATCTCTCTTGATCCAGGCAGTTAATAAGTCCACACGAGAGTATCAGGAGTTTACATTTATAAGAGGGTAAACAGAATAGTTCCTGGTGCTTGAAAGTTGAAGTCTCTAGATTGTAGAGGAAGATTCCTCCTTCCTTCACTATGTGTCCAAAGAGAGATTTTAAATACAGTGCCCACTCTTCTGCTTCTTGTTCATATATCACGAGGATATCCTTCGTATCTTCTAGAGAGAAGAAAACATTTTTAGAAAATAAATTCAAATGCATTTTGAATCCATTATAAATATCAGAAGACATATCATTAGTTTTCCCTCCTATTAAAAACTTGAGGTACTGAAGAAATCACCTTCAGAAATCACCTTGAAATGACAACCATCTCCTTATTTTTAAAACTAAGGCAGAAAGATTTTCCACAGAAATACTGGAAAAAAATAGCTCAGAATATTATATGTTTAGAATAGCTTCAACTGGTATTTCAGAATACATACTGAAATTGCAGTGTAAGAAGCAGAGCACATTCACACATTCTGTACACTCCTAGTCTTGACAACAGGTGATACTATTAAAAATTAAACCCTTAGCTTTTAATGGCAGAAGTAAACAAAAGTTTATTAAAGGCTTGACTGCATTTCTTTTCAGCTATATTGATTTTTATTTATGAGAAAGAAAGCTTTATTTGTGTAAGAAAAGGGACTGAAATACAGTCTTAAGCTGTGCCAGGGGAGGTTTAGGTTGGATATTAGGAAGAAATTTTTTACAGAGAGAGTAATCAGACATTGGAATGGGCTGCCCAGGGAGGTGGTGAATTCACCTGTCCCCAGAAGGTTTTAAGATGAGACTGGATGTGGCACTGAGTGCCATGGTCTAGTAACCATGGTGGTAGTGGATCAAGGATTGAACTTGATGATCTTGGAGGTCTTTTCTAACCTGGTTGATTCTATGATTCTATATCCAACACTACATTTGATGGAAGAAAGGCTCTGCGACACACATCTCATAAAGCCTTAATTTAATGGGGTTTCCATATTTAGTTTGTCTTTTCTATCTATATACAGAGGGAAGAGTCATACTGCTGAGGAGAGACTCACACAAGCAAGCTTTTCCATACTACAGTATAGTGCAATGTTTATTGAAGCAAGCAGCTAATGCTATCAAGTTACCTGTGAGAAACCAAATGTGGGTTTCTCTTGAATTATAAGCATGTTTGTGTTTTCCCCTGCCACTGATTTGCCTTCTGCATTAAGAGTTGACTTTAATATTAAGCATGAATGTAAGGCCTACAACTTCGCCTAAATTGGATTAAAAGGTGAAATATCACTATTTTGAAATGCTTTCTTAACTTGAAATGCGGAGTCAAAGTTTACGCTATGAACAGCTATCATGTCCCCTATCAAAAATCTGCTCCGTGTACCTGTAACTTTCCTCTGTTGCCCATTGTTTTTGCCTTCAGAAATTTTACTAAGATACACATGCTTGAAAGCAGCTTACTTGAAAATTCAAGCCCACCAACACACTGCTTTCAGAACAGTATTACTTCAGTCTGAAACAAAAAGTCTAGCTTTAATGCAACATTAACCAACACCGAATACACAGTACCAATGCATAACTTTCAGCTAGACTTTTTTCCCCTTCATTATTTCCGTCTCTTACTGAATAATTCTTTGAAGTTACTGCACTTGGAATATAATGTGAGATTAATTTTGTTCCCTTGAAAGTTAATGTAATAGAAACTATCATATCCTGACAAAATTAAGCTGTGCTTCAACTGCTCCTACGTGGGACCTGTCTCAAAGGTAGAAATAAAATGTATTATTAGTTGAGCAATGAGAAACAGCAAGAGAATTTCTGCAGTCATCCATAACCTGAAAGTGTTCTTCTGACAAGCAAAACTATTCTGTAGTTATTGGTGTGTGGCTGCCCATGAAAGCACAACTCTTAAAAAATGCTATCTGAAAGCCTCTTCAAAAAACCTGTTGAATCTTTTGAGAACCAAGTGAGACAGGAACATCTTTGCAGACTACTGTGACCTAGAAGGAATCAAGAAATCGCATATACAAGGCAAAAAAACACGAGTTTTGTGGCAACAATTATAAGATACAGTATGGAGTAGAGGCATTAAAAAACAAAAAGCAAGTACATCAGAGAGTGAAAGGAAATCTCCAGAACTCTGCAATGCACCAAACACATCCAGAGGGCAAAGGAAACAAATCAAATATATTAGTGGCCAATACCTACTCTTAAACGGGTACCTCAGTTTATGAACCTTGCAATCTTTTAAAAGATAGTTTCTGCATGCTTAGAAGTACGCAAGAAGGAGCTGGTAACACCTGTCTTTGAGAATAACACTGTCACAGTTGTGAGCTTATTCCCTGCCTTTTAAAGGCCTTGTAGATTTGTAGAGGCTTGTGAAGGTTTGTAGATTATATGCTTTACTTTTAGATATCTGCATTTTACTACAGTTGTTTCTAGAAACTCAGTATTAACATACTTTGTTTGACTTAAACAAGGCTGATTTCAATTAGGGTTCAAAAATTGGCTCTACAGTCCCACTGCCATAGGATGCTTTGGTAAAAAACAAAAAAAAAGTGACATTTGAAAATCAATGTTGACCCAAGTTTTAACTGAAAGATGGAACACCATCTTTCTCAGGATCATCCAGAATCTTTTCCAGTTAGGGTACTGGAGAGTAACAATGTCATTCCCTGTTGTTCACTCAGGGAAAAAACTGTGTATAATCAAGAAAAATGGGTATAATCATGAGAAACATAAGGAGGCATAAAGTAACCCAGACTCCCATTTTTACTCAGAGATTTTCTTCTAATCTCAAGAAGATTCATTTCTTTTTGGGCTGTATGTAGGATGAGAATGGCAAGCACACATACTAGTTCAAATGAAACTTCAGAAACTAAAGATCTTTACTCTCTTGGCCCCTTTGCAATCTTTTTCATAGAGATTCAGCCATTCATCTCTTCACATTGCTTGCCCTGATCACTTACAGTCATATAATAAGGAACGATGGAAAAGGTTTCACTAGCACCTCAAACAACCCCTGCAATATAACATTTGGAAACAAAGCGAGAACATTTAATTCAGCACTAATCAGTGGCACAAAGAACTGCCCCTCACCCACCCAGAAGGCGTTGATTTTCCCAGCCAGCACACCTCGCACACATCCAGTAAATGTGTCTCTCAAAATGCAACTCCAGCTCTTGGTTGCTGGAATTCTGAAAGGCAAATCCCCTGAAGCAAGCCAAAATGCATTCATCGCAGGAAGGACAGTAGAAAGCACTTTAGAACTACTTGCAGATAATGGAAAATGTTTTCAAAGCAGTCATGTTGCTTCTCTGAGATATTCCAGTAATGCAAATGAAAATTATAAAAACCACCGGCAAATTTTACAGTGAGATCAGAAAGTAGCAAAAATTGCTGCAGCACTGTGGCACACCTGTTTCAATTAAAGCAATTATCCTAAAACACAGGACATTCCTGCAACCACCATACCAGCCAGCGGAGTGGCTGCACTTCTATTTTCAGAGGCCTATTTAACTGGCACGTAATAAGATTATTTTCACCATTTACATGCTTTCTGTTGCTAATTGCTAAGTTGTATGTGAAAACACTTGCTCTATCTGTATAAAATCAACCCTCACATCTTCATCCTTCCTAGTAAGCTTAGTAACGTCTGGAGTGGGTAAAATGAGGTTCTACAGAGAGGAACAATTTTTCTACAAATGGGGTGAGTTTAGGGTTGATCTTGTTGGCTTTCTAGGTAAAGAAATTCCATTGGCCTTCCCTACAATGATAACGGGAACAGAGTGAACTAAGTTCCTGGGGTACCTCTGACTGCATGGACCAGGCACAGGTAGACTAGAAAGATACCTGACCATTAAACCTTACAAATCTAACATTATGCCCAAAAAGCTGTTCCTCTTTAATTGATATGGCCTTATTCCCTTGTTTAGGCTCACTCTGACCTGTCCTATGAATACACACAGCTGAATATCTACAGACAGGCAGGTTCATTTCTAATGAACAAGACTAAACACAAACACGGGATACAGAAGTCAGAACTCAGTTCTCCATTTCAAGGTAGATCTCGTCCTTTATCACAATTACAATGAGGCAAAATTTCATGTCATTACAGTCACTTCTGCACACCTGTGGTAGATTTTAGCAGAAAACAACCGGGTAATTCAGAAATGGTTTAGACATGAACAAATCATGAAGAGAAAAATACATCATAAAGACAGTATAAAGAGCTGAGTAATAGACTACTTTTTTATGATTGCTGTGGAATAAGTCTTTAGGGTCACAGAAAAACCTGAGCAAGCTGTATCAAGTTTGTATTAACAGATGCTATTGCTACTAGAAACAATCATCACCTGAAGCCTTCCCTTACACTGTCACTACAACTATAGGTTCATAAACAGGAAAGGTTAAAGGAAAAATTAATTTCAAAATGTCAGTGTTAGGGTAAACCAAAGTGTCCTCCTGTTTATTTTATTTTTTATTAATTGCCAGTTTTTCTCTTATCAGGATCTCTCTAGATATCCCCATCCTGACTTAGCCCGGGCAGTTCTGGATTTATGATCACATTTAAACTCTGCTCATTTAAATTCAAAGTCTTTGCTTTTTCTTTTGCCTTCTGTTGTTTTTTTTTCTCTGTCACCTTTGATTCCATTGTTACTTCAGTTTCCCACAAATTCTTATCTCTAATTCCTTCAACATAAGAAACAGAGAACAGAAAACATGTTCTGCAGACACTAATTAGTGCTAGGGGAAACAGTCTTGTGAAATTCATTACATGCACCTCTACCACAGGAGAACATATCTCAGAAAATAGTGCATATACAACAAAACAAAAAGCACTTAATTTGCAAGCAATAACATTTTGGGTAAGTTGCTGTGATTCCAGCTGCTGTGATCTGGGAAGGTCACACTGTAGCACTGATGTATAAAACAAGAAAAGTGTTTTAGACATTAAGTAGTGTAATTTGTACACCAGGGACTTGGCAGACACTGATCATCAGATGATGTTTATCAATAAATATCACCATTTACTGTAATTTCTGCTCTGAGATTTCTCTGTTCCCTGCATTTGTAGTGTGATCAAATACACCGAGTTAACCATAGATGACATCCTAGCAATTGCTAAATTACAGATTATCATTCACACATGACATTTGCCTGGTAGAACTCTCTTAGAGCAGTCACAGAATGGTTT